ACAGTATACTGTAGTAAGAACTTGTCAGAAAGTTTTATTTTAAAGAATATTCTCGGAGTGAAACCACATACAGTAAAACCCTCTCAATCCGGATTTCCACTTTATCTGGACTGGCAAACCAATCCGGGCTAATTTCTGTTAATTTGGATTGAGTCCAGATTAACATGAAATAGTCCAGATCTACCCACATGGTGGAAAAAAAAAAAATAAAATAAATAAATAAAATAAATAAATAAATAAATAGATAAATAAATAAAATCATCATCACCAACCTGCAGTATAATATATATAATTCTTGTACAGTACATGCTGGACATACAGTATTTACGATAAAGTTGGTGATGTTGCTGATGGTTGAATTTTTCAAGGCACATTTCTCCGTCAAAGCTTTTGCAGGCACCTTTCTCATGATCTTCCAGAATTGCTAACTTGTCCTTCAAGCTAAACTCCTTTCTGGCACTCTTCTGACCTCCTTTTGAAGTTTCTTGCCTTTGGAAGCCAAGGTAATTAGTCCAAAAAGTCACAAATAATCCACAGGAGTTAAGAGATGCACAAACGAGGGCTATAGCAGCATGACTGGCTTGTAAACAAAGCGGCTGGGGCTGGTGTTCGTGTGCGCCAGACGGCAATCAAGATTTTTCTCGGTTAATCTAGACTTTATCTGGATTAAATAAACCCCCTCGTAATTGCTTAATATGGACAGGATTCTCTCCAATTAGTCTGGATTAAGAGGGCATTACTTATATTGTACAGTACAGTAAAGGATAAAAGTAATTTTGAGTGTTTCATTTAACAATCCTAGCAAACCTATCTTGCAACCACCAAAATTCTAGTCTTATAGGGTTCATTGTCAGCAGACTTTAACATCATGTGGGGGGTACAATTCGGATCTATATACTGTACTGTACTGTATTTGGTCCACTTTATCAGCTTTCAGAAGTTATAAGTGTTTTGATGTGTACTGTGCCTCAAAAACCACTGGAGAAAAAACTACTGCACTGTCAATAAATATTTAGTGATGTGCTTTTTTCTGTATTGTTGATCAACAGTTAAACTCCAGAAAGTATAGCATTCAGTAAATACTGTACATCCATTTCTTAATTCTAATAACATGGCAGAATATTAGTGCATAATCTTTTACCTTTCTTTGCCAACATAAATAATTATATAATTTGTGAATGGAACTTTATTTAATGACTCTTAATTAATCCATCATCCAACTTCTCATAGGAGCAAGGGTTTATATGTAACTTAGTAAAGTGAACTGAGCAATTGTGCTGAATGGATACAAGCTGATCATTCAAAGATAAATAACTAATATTGAGTAAAAAAGATATGATATATGAGAATGGATGGCGCACACATACGCACCTAACTTACCCATTAAAATTAAGACTAATTAGATTAAAGCTAATTAGGACTGGGTAGGAGCAAAACTATCAGTACAGTCAGTTACTAATATGTGCTACAAGTGTTGTAATTTAAAAATTTTCTGGTAAATTCTTAATTGAATACAAGCTTGAGCATCATTTACTGTATAGAAAATATATTGAGAACATCTGAATTAAGCAAAAAAATTGAGGAGCAAATTTTATTTTTATATCTTTACACACTGGATAATTCATAGGCTGGCAAAATTTTTATGAAATAAAAATAGTGTGTTTTGCTATTTTTCATCAGGAGAACTCCAAGTGGAAATGCAGCAAGAAAATTAATTCTTTAAAGAAAATACCAGTAGGTCGACTTCATTTATCAAATATCAGCTTGACTGTAAAAATGTAAAGCCAATCGTGATTTTTTTCTTTTACCATATCGTAAGACGATTACAGTAAATATAGAGCATCCAAGTGCTGTCTCAGTTGACGAGGAGAGTAATATACAGTATATAACCCTTAAATTGATGTTAGTTGTAGGGATGGCAACCAACATCAATAGATGTTTCAAGTTCCTTGCAATCTAGTTGTGAATCACTTGTTAGATGTCTTACAGCTTATTAAAGTTTTATTCCAAGGAATCTGGTGTGATTGGGGGAGGATAATATATTTGTCAAAATCAAGCTAGTGAAATCTAATTCCACTCAACAAGTTAGGTCATGGGACATGGAGTTTAACCTTTTAGACCTGTCTGGCTATACTTGAGCTGCTCGAGACTTGGGACAAGTACTGTACTGTAATAAAAAAGTGGGTTATAATTTGCAATATAAGTGACGTATTCTGAATTTTACGTCACCCCTTTCCTTATTAAGAATAATTCAGAATTTTCTAATTATGAAATTTTTTTACATCAAACACTTAATAAATATTTAGAAAATTAATTTATAAGATATTTTTATTAATTTCCTTATCTAAACTATTGTGTATTATGAATTTATGTGTGACAGTGATATTTATATAAAAATACTGCTTTTGACTGTTAAATGATTCTGCTTGCTGAAAGACAATCAGTAAAATTCTTAATATACTTCTCGAAGTACAGAAAGATATACAGTACTGGACATTATAATTTGCAACAACTATGTATCTTATAAGCAGAATAACTAAAATAAAATTTATTATACCAATACCGTATTTTTTTACAAACTATATTACGATCACCAGAGAAAATGTACAGAATTGTGACGTCACATAGGTCCACAGAATAATGGCAGCCTTGGTACAGCAGTGACCATAAAGAGCGCATTATTTTCAACATGTATCTTGTCATTTGCAATTACAGGTGTTGACTGTTATACGATGGGGTTAGGGACCTCAAAGTGATGGATCGCATGTTGATATTACCAACTTATAGGGAAAAATAATTTCTGTTCCTGAGACCCTGAAGAGCCCAAACAAGTTTTATATCCTGCTGCTATATTGATTTACATTATGTTTAAATAACTCAAATACAGCATTTTATAATTAGATACAAAAATTAATAAATTTATACAAATTGAAAACATAAAAACAATGAATTTACACAAACTAAAGACATAAAAACAATAAATTTATACAAAATAAAGATTTATTTTTATTTACCTTACATGATGTACGTGTACAGTAGTAAGTTGCGATCCTCCAGCTGTCACTGTAAGTAATTTCGGGTAGACATACGTAATTTTCTTCAATTATGTTAAGCTTTGTGTTACATGCACAGACAATCTTTCATACTGAATGTCCAAAAAATAAAAATTAAAATGAATAAATAATTATTATAAGGTCAAAAACATAAAGGGAATACGATAAACATTTCTTATAAGCGCAGGACTTATCAGAGAGAGGGTATAGACATACTAAAGTTCCTTATTTTTGTTTACTGTTGTAAGCACACAAAAAGCTTTCATACAGAATGAAAAAATAAATAAATAAAATAAGGTCAAAACATAAAGAAAATAAAAATTTCTTCTGCTCCTGGGAGTTAGTGTGGATCGTAGGAGGGGAAGGGAGGAACGAGAGGAGGGTGGTGCATTGGGATCTCGGCCCCCCCCTACCAGGCCAAGCTGAGCTGTGTTATTGTTATGTTTCAGCTCATAATTTGGGATTGATATACGTATTTTTTGTTCAATTATTTTTGTTACTGTTACACGCACAATTGTTCATACAGAATGTGCAAAAATTCATTGTAAGGTCAAACACATAATGGGAATAAGCATTGATTACATGTGTGTGTGTGTGTGTGTGGGGGGGGGGGGACTTTTGACATATAGCAGGGGATCCTGTGTGTAGTGACAAGATTGTCAAATGGCAACATTTTTTTCTTTTCCTTTATTTATTCCTCACATTTACTGGTACAATATACAGTATAGTCTTCATTTACGCGGTCAATTGAACCCGTGAAGGTCCGTGTAACATGAGAAACGCGTAAACGAAATAACAGAACATATGGGATTAATTGAAATAGAGACTGGGCCGACCCCCAAACTACACTTTTTCCGACACAATACGTACGTTGTAGTAAAAATAACATCTTAATTTTATGATGGTATTCACACACAATTAATATTTAAGAGAAATATCAATAATATTAGGTTTTTTAACACTTACGTTAGTAGAAAAGATGGCTGGGCACACGGGGCAGAGGGCAGATTATTGGCCCTCACCTGTATCAACTGTATCACTATCTGCCACAGAGGCTTGCAGGGCCTCTTTGTCAAACCCCTCAAAGTCCATATCCTCACTATCACTGACTTGGGCCGGCTGTGGTGGGTGGCGGGTGAAGAACTCGGTAATGTTTTGTTGACTAGGCGACCTTGTGCGCACCCTGCCTGCGCCGCTTCCTGCGTAAATGATGGAATGAACCGTGTAAATAAAAATTGTCGGTCTGGCAAGGTGCATCGTAAATGACCAAACGCGTAAATTGAGATTATACTGTATACTATTTTAAGTACAAAGAATAGCTTTTTCCACACACAAACCATTCTCTGGGTGATGTGACACAGTTCAACTGCTTAACCTAAAAGTCACCGTGTAGGAAAAGCTTCCGGGTAGCAACCATTGTAAAACTGATCTTAGTCATCGCATAGCGGTAAATGGTGTTAATTTTTTAACATCATAAAAGTGATCGATCATCTATAGATCCATCGTATAACGGTCATTACCTGTAATTCCAACTATTTTAAAGCGAGGTTCATCTTGTTGAATTTAACAAAATTAATGAGAAAAACTTACATCTTATTGAAATGACACTTATATACATACACACAGAAAATTATGCATGCTCAAATACACCAACCCATGTACAGTACACACACACTCACATTTACTCAACGTTTTTAATCAACCCCAATCTCATACACAATATCTATACTGTACTGAAAAAAAAATGTACCCCAGTACATTATATATTTTATAGCCATCATTTGTCTTGATTAACAGCTCCCACAACTGACTAACAACAATTGCATCCTTTTCTAAGTTTACCATTGATGATACTACCGTAATTTTTGACAGATGTATTGTAATTTACCTATTAAATTTGGGCTCTATAACTAACTATAGCTTACCGGTATAGAGCAATTCACCAGGTTTGATGTTTAATGCATAATGTCATCCATGATCATCATTCACAGGAGACAGGATCCACAGTAATACACAGAACCCCAAAAAAATAAAAAGATGTGGATTATTGAGTCAGAACAGGAAAAGGAAATAATTTCTTTATCAAGTTTATTTAAGTGATTTTTTCCAACCTCTTTTACTATAATTAGGTGGTGGTTCATAAAACAAGAGGGTCGTCCAAAAGTGAGGTGCTATAAACATTCACAAACCTCAGCATGAATTAAGGATTAAGGATTTTAGATACTGTATATCTTTCTCTTTCGGGGTTTTGTTACCCAAAATTGTCATACAAAATATGCTAACGACGTTATTCTCACTATAGCTAACACCATTCAGCTTGGTTGATGAATCAACTGAGGCTCTAATTGCCTCTGTTGGGGGCCTACTGGCGGTGGACTTAGCTGAAAGATCCTAAAATGACCCACTATCCTATAAAATCTGTAATTGAGGTAACAGAATCTCAGTTCACATGTGAACTTCAAATTTTCAGAAACTAACAAAGAATGTGAAGCAAGTTAGAGACAGTATGAATGTGACTTACAGGGCACATTAACATTTAAATCCAAAAAAAGTGGGAATTTACTCACTTTAAGTTTACTTATGAGCCAAAAATTACGGTAACATATAGTTCCTTTGTTTCATTTACCTATAATATACAGAATGAGTATTGTCTGTCATGAACAACTACTAACACTTCAATGCATGGTTCTTACAAGTTAATCACAAACAAAATTACAAACAAATACTTATGTACATTTATGTCTTGATACAAAAAATTCCATTATTTACAAATACAATAACCAACAGCAAAAACAACATGACAACATATCTCACTATGAGTGTGATGGGAGATATTTACAGTTGCGTGAAGGTCTGTGCCAACCCTAACTGCATCACAATACTGTACAGTCATATTCCATTTACATTAATTCATATCAGTACATTTGGTCACGAAATTCTCTTCCAATCATGAGAGAAAATTTTCACTTAAATTATTTTATCTTACTTGTAGTTACATAATGTACAAATGCTTAATTATGTCAAGGGCATGTGAATTATCCCCCCAAAAAGTAAAAAAAATTATAATTAAGTTGAAATTCTCATAGAGGTATAATCAACTAGATTATATCAATCATACAGATAAAACCATTAATGATCTGCTGAGGATGAACAGTAACAAGTATTTTCTCAGACCACAACTTTAAAATAAAAGAGCAATAACAATGCAGTAATGATAATGGACACAATCTGGGAATGTAGGCTGTAATGCTCAAGTAACATACTGTACTGTAATACATCTCAAACCTTCTCCTAAACTGGCTACAGTATATGAATATTATAATATTCATTCCAAAAACAAAACAGTATAAATAAAGCCTAAATACTCAAACTCATAAGTAGTCACTGTCCTCAACACGGACAGTAGCATGCATTGTAAAAATAAAATATACAATTTTGAGAACTGTGTAAGAAAGTGGAAAAGTATATGAAGATAGAAGTGTTGGATGAAACAACTTATCAAAGTAAACTGTTGCAAAGCTTTCAAGCGGTAATAAACCTTAATTCACTATGTCTAACACCATGAATTGGAGAAGAAGATATCCCTAGAATTTTCTTCATTCTAGCCTCTGATAATTCCTTTTTCTAAGATTTAGCATACCTGTTCCATTAAATACAGTACCGTATATTTAATTGGGATTGGAATACTGTATTGCCGAAGTTTCGAATGGCTGGGTAAAAAGAACCCAGAGTTCACATACTGTACAGTATCTGAACATAGGATTCTCACTAAAAATATATAACCCTTACATACCATACACTTGGTGCATATCAGCCAACAGTACAAGATGTAATGGGAAATTATGCTTGGAGAACACTCTGTAATATTGGTCAAACTTTTTGGTTCAAAATTGGCCATAATGAGTAGAATACTGAAATTATATACAGGTTACTAGTACTTTAAGGACACAGCAATAGTGTAAAATACACCCAAGAATCCTGTGCCTTGTCTTTATCTGGCTCTCAAGATTTTTTTGAAATTAGAAATAATTCACATGATAGTTCAGTAACCAACAACCTGAAGACTCCCGTATGGTTACAAGCATCCAATTATTTGTGGATATAAATGAGCACTGAAATATGATGTGGACTATCTTGGCCACAAAAACACGCTTTTATTACCACCCTAACCCTAAACTTTATATGAACCCATCCATTATCAGAGAATGATTCATGTTATGAGTAAAGTTAAAAGAGAAAGAACATTTTGTATGACTGATACTAAGAACATTTATTGTGTAGGAGAAGTAATTACAGAAATGTAACACTTAAAATTTAATAACTGCTTGTATAAAAGATTTATATCTGATATTCTAAAAAAACTAAAAACAAAAACAAAACTGATCCAGCCAAATTCCTCAGGGTAAAGTGACTACCATTAGCTTAAATATAATCTCTGGTAGCTCATAAAGTGGCTTCTTGCCAGTAATGTTGTCATCTTGGTTACTGTGGCTGGTCATCTACCATACTTGGTGTCCATAGACGCACTATGTAGGCAGCATCACCACTGGTCCTGCAGGGGGCTACAGGTGTGTCTGTGAAGAAAGTGGTAATGTTACAGTACTGTATCTGGAAAGTAAAGGAATGTGGTAGTGTAATGGGCAGTTTTTAAAAAAATATAAGAAATAATTCTAGCAGTATCACTTAAGTACAGTATTGGCTCTTCTCTTAAGATTCTATTACAGCAGTGGTTCCCAAATACAGGGTCGCAACCCCAAATGGGGTTGCAAGATACATCATAAGGGGTCGCATAGAGGTCATGGGGTGTTTTTTCTTTTTGTCCAGATGTCAAGGACTGAAGGCTGTGGCCGACAGGTGCGGTCTCAATAATTCAGGACCATAAATTATTGTCAAAGGATTAATGCAGTTACTTACCTTGTGTCAGATCAGGCTGGCTCTGATGACACGTTTCACAATAGAAGTTCCACACTCCTACCTCTGAACTGTTCTTAGCTCAGTTCACTCTGTACTTCCCATAGATGCAGACAGAAAATGGCAGCAAATTTCAATGATAGATTCCATGAATTGCTTACTGTGTCTTCTGATTTTGTTCAGTTTCCGTTGAAGACATGTAAAACAGTGTGCCTCGTTTACACTCAAAATGTCAGAATTACAGGATGACAACGAGACAAGGGTGAGTTTAGATGTCTATGATAACATAGCAAAGTTCTGGATCACTTTATCAAAGAGACCTTCAGTATAGTTAAAATTGAGCTATCAAGGTTCTGATACAATTTGGAACAATCTAAGTCTGTGAGGCAGCTTTCTCTGTTAATGGTGTACAGGTATATAATTATTTTTTACCGTAACTGAATTTCAAACGTCAACTTGGAAGATCGAATGTTATATTACCTAACCTCATATACCCCGATGTATAGAAAATTAATTAAATGATGATCTACATATGGGAGACAGATATGAAATATGAGCACAGTTGTAGCATACGACATATGATAGTTGTAACTTAGAAAATAGCATGTTATGGTGTTTAACCCTTAGGCTTTAGGTCACGTCATATGATGTGCATCTGTAAACCTTCAGGTCACGTCATATGAAGTGCAGCTGTAGACCTGCGGGCCATGTCATATTGACGTTTTGATCTTTCATGGTCCTTATTTGAATAAAAAGGGTGGGCTTGGCTAGATTATGTTGCCAAGTAGGTATTTATCTTTCACTCACTCACACATGAGAGCTTCACAATCTCTTCTCAGCTTTTATGATGTAGGAATCTAGCCCTTGGACTTGACTCACTTCACCACATGTTTCTACCCTCAACCCCCAGCACAAGTCTGGTACCGTGATCAATTACTGGAGCAGTAATAATTATTGTTAATAGAGTAAATAGTAATAACATAGTAAAACAAGTGTCCTATACCTTATACTACTGTACCTACAAATTAGTGTTGTTTACCTCGTTACACTTGCGTCACACATAACGCCACCTCACAAACATCCTAGCACTGTGTTGCTAACCTGTGGTAAAGACATGTGTTTACTTCCTGTTTATATAATGCATGGCCAGTTCCTGAATATACCTATGGTGGGGGAGGGGGGTGGATGCCGACCATAGCCAGAAGCCTAGGGATTACTCACATGATTATAACCCCACTTAATAGAAAATTTATTAAATAATAATGCATGCATGTCACATATGAATTATGACCGATGTGACTTGTACTAAAATTTAATAAAAAGATGATGCACACATATCACAAACAAAAGATGAAAGACTTGTAACACACAAAATTTTATGTTATGTTGGGAACAGACCCATTATCTGCCTCAGTGCAGGAGGCAATGATATTGGCCGGTGTAGAAGTGAGGAGCTTCTTGATAAGTTCAAGACAGCTATAAAACGTATTAGGTCGAAGGGAGGGATCCCTATCATATGTGGTGTCCTGCCTAGGAGAAGAATTGGCAATGAATGGTTGTCAAGGGCAGTTGGTGTCAACGGCCGTCTTGACAGATATTACAAGTCAATATCAGTCCCATTCATTAACAACTGGGACAACTTCTACGGCAGAAGGGACCCTTATGCATCTGTCTAGGGATAGGTTGGCAACCCTGGCTGGCTCTCTCGAAAGGGCAGTTCAAAAGATGTCGAAGTCTTTAAACTGCTAGGAGAACATATAAGCACGGGGATGGAGGAGACTGCAGTGGGAGCGGGTAAACAAAGTGAAAAGGTTACAGGGAAATAGTGCTAGGAATTATGACAAAACTAAATTAGGCAGAGTTAAAACCGTGACAAAGAGGGGACTCGGAACACGACTAACTTAAATGTCTACTACGCAAGCAGTAGAGGTATGAGAAACAAAATGGATAAAATCAGGGAGTTGGTATGTACCGAAAAAATCTATTTAATAACATTCACCGAAACATGGATAAACTTACTCGCGAGAGTTACCTGTCGAATACCAAATTGCAGGTTACAAATTATTCCTTACTGATAGGCAGATTAGGAAAGGAGGCAGAGTATCAATCTATGTCAGGGCTAATCTGAAGTGTGAAATAAATACGGAAATAAAAACTGAGCAGAATACAGAACCAATTTGGATAGAATTAATCGATGGTAGGGAAAAATTAATCACAGGAGTAATATATAGACCTCCTAATCTTGATAGAATTAATGAGCGACTTATTTGGGATTAAATGCGCAGGGCTTCCATACATAGCAAAGTCTGTATAGTAGGTGACTTTAACTTTAGCCAAATAGATTGGATTGACCTTACGGGTAACTCAGAATCAGAGGATTTTCTTGAAACAATCCAGGACTGTTTCCTAAGCCAACACATAACCGAACCCACCCGGGGTAATAATATACTCGACTTAGTTCTGTCAAACAGAGAAAGCCTCATTAGTAATGTTGAGGTAGGGAACGAACTTGCTAACAGCGATCACAAAGAAATTAGATTCCAGTTAAAATTTCAGGGCAGACGCAAGGAAAATTCCACTAAAGTCCAGATTTCAGAAGGGCAAACTTTGATAGTTTGAAGAGGCAGCTGAAAAGGGGTATCACACTTGGGGGGTGAATTACATGACCTCACATGAGGTGACCTCACACAATGTACCCACAGAGGGCGACCTCACCTTACCTGGAGACCTGACGGTTGAGGATAACCTGATAACGAGATCTGAGGTTGACGAGTTCCACAACAATTTAAATAATGAGTTGCTTAATGCATAAAGGCAAAACATACCATACAGAAAACTCAGATCAAACAACAATGACCCTAAATGGATAAATAATTATTTAAAGAATATTATTGGACACAGGAAGGCTACAGGTAGGAGAATAAATCATGGTGAAGTTTACCTCCGAGATTATTCTAAGGTATTGGCCAGTAGGGTAAAGACCGAGATAAGAAAAGCAAAGAGGAATAATGAACTGAAGGTAGCAAGGGAAGCGAAGTCAAACCCCAAGGGATTCTATCAAATGTATCAAACTAAAACACGAGAAAAGATTGGACCAATACAGTCAGATACCAATGAGCTAACTGATAACGACGGAGAAATGAGCAATAATCTGAATAAATATTTTTCAACAGTTTTCACCACCGAAAATTTAAACATGATACCCGAGACACTGACTGTATACAGAGATAGTGAAAAAAATAAATTAAGCGAGATAGTAATGACTAGTAACGATGTTAGTAAGCAAATAGACAAACTAAAGCCTAATAAGTTACCAGGTCCCAATGAGATATTTGCCAGAGTATTAAAGGAATGTAAGGAAGAGCTTAGTATGCCCTTAGCAAAGTTGTTTAACATGTCCTTAAAAATGGGTGTGGTACCAGAATCCTGGAGGATAGCAAATGTAATACTGATTTTCAAGAAGGGAGATAGATCACTATCCTCTAACTATCGTCCAATCAGTCTAACATCAATTGTAGGCAAATTACTGGAAGCAATCATTTCAAACTATTCGAAATCACCTGGAGAAGCACAAGTTGATCAATAATTCCCAACATGGCTTCACAAGTGGGCGTTCATGTCTAACTAATCTATTAACACTCTTTTCATCCGTTTTCGAATCAGTGGGTGAGGGACACAATTATGATGAGGTATATCTCGACTTCAACAAAGCCTTTGACAGAGTCCCCCACGAAAGACTAATAAGAAAAGTGGAGGCTCACGGCATTAAAGGAGATATTCTAAAATGGATTAGGGCGTGGCTACAGGACAGGAAACAGCGAGTGAGCTTCAACGGCACTAAATCCGATTGGAGCAACGTCACTAGTGGAGCTCCCCAAGGCTCAGTACTTGAACCATTATTATCTAATACTGCATATACATAAACGACATAGATATCGGCGTAGACAGCAACATAAGAAAATTTGCTGATGACACTAAAATAGGGCGTGTAATTAAATCTGATGAGGACTCCACAAAACTACAAGAAGATCTAAACAAATTTTTCGAATGGTCTGAAAAATGGCAGATGAAATTCAATGTGGAAAATGTAAAGTACTCAGTATAGGAGATGTAAACAGGGAAACCAGATACCAGATGAACAACAAAGTTATTGAGAAATCCAATTGCAAGAAAAATTTAGGAGTAATGATAAGAAGGAATCTTAAGCCAAGTAAACAATGTGTATTTGCTCAAAACAAGGCTAATAAAGTACTTGGGTCCATACAAAGGAGTGTGAGTTACAAGACTAGCGAGATCATCCTAAAACTATATCTTGCGCTTGTGAGACGTCACTTGGATTACGCAGTTCAATTCTGGTCACCGTATTACAGAATGGATATAGAATCCTTGGAAAGAATTCAGAGGAGAATGACAAGACTAATCCCAGGCATTAGGAACCTTGAGTACAGAGACAGGTTAAAGCATCTTAATTTGCACTCCCTCGAGAGACGTAGAGTGAGAGGCGATATGATAGAGGTGTATAAATGGAAGTCAGGGCTGAACAAAGGGGACATTTCAAAGGTACTCAAACTATCCAACCAGGAGCGAACTCGTAACACTGGTTTTAAATTAGACAAATTTAAATCTAGGCGCGAAATAAGTAAACATTGGTTTGGAAATAGAGTACCGGTAGTGGACAAGTGGGACAAGTTACCAAATATCATCATTAACTCAAATACGCTGGATAGCTTCAAACATAGGTTGGATGGATATATGAGCAATAGGGATTGGGTGTAAATGGGACTACCCAGTATGGGCCAATAGGCCTGCTGCAGTTTCCTCCATTCTTATGTTCTTATGTATACTGTATTAACCAATAAAAAAAAGGCAAAACTTTTACAATATTAATTTTTAAGCATTCCTACTGAACAATTTGGCAAAGTAAAACCACATTTTTCAGCACAGTAAATGGTAATGACTAAATTTTGTTATTTGCCAAATAATTTATTTTGACAAAATAAAATCATATCTTTAATTTTACTCCTATGATTAAATAACAAATTAGGCCTTGGATATTTTCCCTGTTCCAAAATATGGAAAACAAATAAAAGTAACTCTATATCAAGTTATAACTTTTGTATTTTATTTATTGACAAGAGTGAAGAATGTGGTCTCTTGCAGCACAAACATGCAAGAAATTCTGAAGACAAAGAGCACTTAAAACCAAAGAAAATGTGACACTCACCAGGTGTAGACTGATACTGTATGGCGGCATCAACGAGAGATGGGGAAAAGGACAATCCTAATTTCCCTTTACGAACTAAAACATTTCAATATTTAATATATTGTCTGTTGATAAACATATACAGACATGTACAGATGTATGAATGTTTCCTGTGTGTGGGCAGCATGTACTGTACATATTATTACAATACCGTATTGGATAAAGTCATAGGCTGGAATAAATCAGTACAGTACTGTACGTACAGTACACAATTTCCTTAGGTCCAAAGTCAAATACAGTATTACAGTAAATATAAACCATATTTCAGATGATTTTGTTTAACTACGTATTTCATCACTAGTATTTCATGGGGCTTTAACCGTTAGCTACACTATTTGCGTCGAAGACCATGAGGGGTTGAGATTTCCAACCATGGCCAGCATTAAATGTTTTATTTAATATATTTACTTTATTACAGTATTTTACTTTATTACAAGAGTGCTTATAGTTTGTATGTGATATATATGTTGAAATGGGATTGGGGGCAGTAGTGTATAGATTGTGGAATGCATTTCTATTTTTCTAAATACAGTAAATTGGTACAGTATTTCTTTTATGATATTTCACGTTATATATAAATATACAGTACTGTATATATATATATATATATATATATATATATATATATATATATATATATATATATATATATATATATATATATATATATATATATATATATATATATATATAATTTATATATATATCCCCCCATATTTATGTAAGGGTTCTGTTCCTGAAAAACTAACTGTAGACTGAGGGATAACAGTACAGTAGTACTGTAGTTATACAGTATAACTGTATAGTATTCTCTGAAATATGAATTAAAAGAGCAACAGATCAACAGCAACAGTGGAGGAAAGTGAAGCTGATCTGTTGTAAACTGCTCAGTTACTATATCCAAACCTGCCACAGCTATAACCTCGACTTGACCACAAATAATATTTGCAGTAGTAATGCATTTACTGTACTGTATCAGTTTCTTGTGCTTGTACAGTCCAAAACACTTACAAGCCACACAGACTGGCACCCTCAAAATTCCTAACCGGCAACTTCGCTGGGTTCATCCCTTCCTCACCTCCTGAAACATACAAACCAGGCAATAAATTGGTGGCCAGCCAAGGTATAAAGTCAACGCTTATCCTCGAATATATTACCATGGATAGGTTTTAGGAACGGAAGGAAAATAAAAATTTTCAAATTATTTAATCATGCTAAAATGTTTAAGAGTAAGTGTTGACTTTATACCTTGGCTGACCACCAATTAATTGCCTGGTTTGTATGTTTCAGGAGGTGAGGAAGGGATGGACCCAGCGAAGTTGCCGGTTAGGAATTTTGAGGCTGCCAGTCTATGTGGCTTATACAGCAAGTGGAGTGGACTGTACAGTACCAATATTTTGGTTTGCAATAAATACGAGATAAATGATCAAATTTGCTGCCATTTTAGGAATTCCTTGGTCATTTCCTTTACAATAACAATGAATACGAGGTCAAAATTTCCAGCTATACGAGGATTGTTCTTGTGGAATAGTATCAAATTTTGCTGCTGAATCAGCTAAATACAGTTCGATCATTTATTCATGGTCACAGTACACTGAATACCAACACTCACTTATAAACAGGTTCGAGTAGTGGGTCAGTAATTTTTTTCTCCATTGGCATCGTGACCCTCAAGCTTAATTACAAAAGCTGAAAGAGAAGACTTCTTTTTCTTGATGTATGAACATGTCAAATATAAAAAAAAAATCCTAGTTACACATTCAAGAACAGCTGAGTAAAACATGAGCAAAAAGGAATAAAAACATGTGGACTTAACCGGGTGAAGGTGACTGAGTACAAGCTCGTGGGTTATGACACAGCATGCACATCATAATATAGAAGTTACATGCACTCACATTTTCTTGCATTTTGTATGTATAGTGGTCCCTCGGTTAACGAACACGATTCGTTCCACAGAGTCGTTTGTTAACCGAAAATTTCGTTAACCGAATCCATTGTTTCAATAGGATATTGGGTAATTGGTTCCAGCTCACAGAAAAATGCATACAATGCAAAAAAAAAAAAAAAATGCAGTAAAGTACACTTACTTTGAGGTGTGTATGTAGAAGGTTCCTGGTTGATGATGATGATGGGAATTAGAAGTGGAGATGGAGGAGAAGGGAGAAGAGAAGGAAGTGGGGATGGAAGAGAAATCACCATTCAGGGGACCCATGCTTGATGCAGCAATTTTCACCAATAAAATTTTAAGTTCACTAGGTGTAATTCAAGATTATTTTATTTAAATCAACACTGCACTGCACTATATATTATCAATATGTTAACTAAATTTCAGAATGACCAATACTTTTAATGTATAAATGCAAAAAAATATTCAAGACATCAACAAAATCGATGTTCGCTCCACTGTCAACAAAGCCAAACTAATGCCTGGTGGCTGAGTCAAGCGGCTGATGGGCACACAAAAAACTAGTTCCCTGTACTGCATATATTATAAATATGTTAACTAAATTTTAAAATGACTAATAATTTTAATATGAAAAATGCGCAAATATTAAAGAGCACAACTTTCTTGATATTTACTCCACTGGAAACGAATGTAAACATAGAACAGATTACTGAATTGGCAGACTAGCCCATCAGCTGAAATTTAGTTAACATATTGATAATATATAGCGCAGTGAAGTGTTGATTTAAATAAAATTATCTTGAATTACACCTAGTGAACTTAAAATTTTATTGGTGAAATTACTGCATCAAGCATGGGTCCCCTGAAAGGTGATTTCTCTTCCATTCCCATTTCCTTCTCTTCTCCCTTCTCCTCCACCTCCACTTCTAATTCCCATCATCATCAACCAGGAACCTTCTACATAGACACCTCAAAGTAAGTGTACTTTACTGCATTTTTTTTTACTTTGTATGCACTTTTCTGTGAGCTGGAACCAATTACCCAATATCCCATTGAAACAATGGATTCAGTTAACAAACGACTCTGTGGAATGAATTGTGTTCGTTAACCACATTATTGCTATAAGAGAGAGAGAGAGAGAGAGAGATATTCCTTTACAAAGTACGATCAAAGTAAACAAACTACAGCAATAGCCTTTAAGGTATGCCACCATAAAATCCAGTTATAAAAATAGCTGCCCTTTGGCTATCAAATAATAATAGCTTCCAGTAATAACAAATGCATCATAATTAATATAAAAAATTTATCCTAGTCACAATGCTTGTAATGGACCATGACTACAAACAAGTGATATTTTACACAGAGAAATGCAATTCCTAAATTTGAAGTACTCTGTAGTGTGTAAATATTACACACCTGTACCAGCCAACTAATAAATTCATACAAGATTTTAAATTATTTGCATATTAGATACCCATTTATGTCAATCATCCACAGTTTTTTGGTTATTTTAGCACAATTAATAAATCTATTGACTATTGACAGTCCAAAATAGCCTATCTGCAGCAAATACCCATTGAATGCCTATGAAACGGTGAGGATTATGACCAATCAAGTGAAGTGTAAAAAAACAGTCACATCAGCTTTGTCAATCTGCAATGAAACCAAGACACTGTTTGATTGATATTAGAATACAGTACTGTACACATATTGTACTATACTTCCCAAACATTATGTACCTCAGGCTTACAGACTCTCCTACATTTGTACAATATGAACAATTTATGTAGAATAGTTAAATATACTTTCAGAAATATAAGAGGCTCGATCAATATGAACGTACAGTACCTACAAACCAGAGCCACTAATGAAAGCAATGGTCTGAAGAGTAATTATCTTGGTGTGAATGACCCTAATCTCATAATACTGTAGTGTTAGTTCACTACCTAAGTATACACTGAGTTTTCTCATGTGATATCACTTCCAAAGCTGTAACTATATAAAGAAACGGGTATGGGACCGTTTATCTGGCATCCTGGTATTCGGAACACTGCAAAAACCGGTTATGTTCGGTTACAAATTATTTAAAATGAGCGTCAAACGTCATTCCTGGGCCGACCAAGGATATTTCCAACCATTCCCCCTGTGAGCTATATGTAATGAAAAAAATAAATAATAATCATCATAAGGTATAAAGTATTTTTCAACTCGTAATTTTGGGTAGATAAAAGTAATTTTTATAATTATTTTTTACCCATTTACATGGACAAACAATGCTACTGCACAACAGTACAGAAAGTACAAAATAAATAATTATCATGAGGTATAAAGTTTTATGTATCTATGGGTTTACATCCGTGAAGCTAGGTGGGTCCGTGGTGGAGATCATTGTATTGCTAAGGTGATTATCAGGGACAACTGCAAATCAGTTTGAACACTAACTTGTATCATTTTTGCTCTCTTTATGCTTTCATTATTACTGTATTATTTATGTGCTTTTGTTATTGCTGTTTATGTGCCTACAATTAAAATTTTTAATGTTACAATGTACAGTAGAGTTAAAGCTACCTTTAAGGGTAGATATAGTGATCTGAACAGAGGCTTCACACTCGGTTATAGATGGTTTACTTATGTCTTAGGCCTGGCACTCCAAATTTTATAAAAAACCTATCCTGCAACCTCTAGGTCACAAGCAAGCTGTATAAATGGTCCCATACCTGTATTTCTGGTGCATGTGTGGTCTACATAGCCTCACTTATGTACTGAGAAGTGAAGGAGTTCCACAGAAATTGTGTATTATTGAGGCTTATTAGTTTTGTTAAGTAAGATAACACACAGTACTTTAAGTGTCACCATGATGTTTTTATTTCTTTAAGTATCACTATACAGTAACATCTTTACAGCATATTTCTTTCACTTTTGGGAGAAAAATTACCGTTCCTGAGTATTTCTATGACAGCGGTTTTAACACCGAGATTTAAACAGAAAAAACACATCATCACCATCTTGTGTGTAATTTGTAAGCTTTGGCATCTATTAATTGACTGGGTTGAGAAACATAAATGTCCTTCCTGTGAATTATGTTGCAAATAAAATACTTTGAATGATGCAGAGTGGAATGATGATAATTTTACTGTGGGGGTGATGGAATATTTTCAAGGTTAAGTAATGTGGGTTATTAATATGTATGTATGTGTGTGTGTGTGTGTGTGTGTGTGTGTGTGTGTGTGTGTGTGTGTGTGTGTGTTGAATTCAGGTTTTTTTGTGTTTCTAGTTGAGCACTACATGGTGTTACTTATCCATAAAAAACTGATGACATGCAAAAGGTCTATTTCCAACATCTGTGGATAATTGAGCATATACAGTATATATAATTCCCCAATCCTACAAGTTTCACAAGATTGTTAGATAATGGCAAAGTTAAATACAGTTATCTAACTACATTCCAAATGAACCACCCACTAGTCATATCCTCCTACCCTTTGCATAATCCCAAAAGATCTTCGCAATTTTAAATTTTCTTAAAAAATTGTATGCTGTGGTCACTTTCCACAATATACAGATGACATGGTAATCATCCGGGGAGTGTCCTGCTTATTCAAACTGACACGTTACCTACATGCCTACAAAAGTTATCTAATGAACATAATTGCCTATTTTTATATTTCAGATACAGATACTGTACCATGGTTCTAGAAAGAAAAAATATTGATCATACAAGAATATTAAGACAATATTTAGCAATAACAGTCATTAAAGTTTCCATAAAATATAATAAAAACTTTTACACAACAGCAAATGCAAACTATAGACACAGTTATATAAAAACACACAGCTTTAAGCACAAATAAAGACAAGGCCATATAATACAAGAGTCAATGTGCACCTCCCACAAACCTACATGTTGCCTGTTGTTCCACTCATTAAAGTAACCTACATTTTACTTTCTAGGGTCTGAGTTTGGCTAAAAAGTAGTCTTATCACAAAATTTTCAACTTCTACAATTCAATGTTCATTTGATGCCCTTGAACCCAGCCATCCATAAACACAAGTCACACTAGAGTTCCTGATTTACTGAGATCATGTAAATGTAAGAGGTATTAAAGTGTTTGGGCAAATTCACTTAGACGATCCCATAACACACTCAATATGACAAGAGATATAAGGACTCACAATATTCATGTCACTTTTCCTGATGAGGTTTAATGTTGGTTGACTTCATAATTTAGGACTAATGTAAAGGTAAACATAACACAATAAAGGATGGTACGGCATACTGTGATCAAGATAAGAAAAAATACTTTGCATTGCCAATGATTTGTTGTTCTTTGAGACCATCACCATAAGGATGATAAATTTAGTAAAATAGTAAAATGCAAAACTGATTCAAGTACAAATACCTTCTTTCAGAAAAAACACATACTGTACCCAGTAAACCAGATTTTTCACAATCTAAACTTAATTTTTTCCAATCTTGCCATTAATAATAATAACAATACACCTGTAATACTGTAATAACAAAACAACCTTCATCCAGATTTTCAGATATAGTATAGTTCTTCTTTCCCCTTATAACCACTAATAAAATATTAAAAATTTTAGTTCCTATAATTTTCTTGAGACTGTCTCAAAGAACAACAACCATATCTACTCAGTGATTTTATGTATTTATACATAACCCAACAAGTGGGCTCAGGGGAGGTGCACAGATAACCCCTCATCAAAGACTTAAACTTAGTGTCCTAGCAAAGCCTTTAACAACATTTGCATAATCGTAAAATAATAGCAAAAACTCCATCACAACAATGCGTTGGCTAGCTATGCACATGACAATCTTGCACACACAAAGCTGAGTAGGCAGGAGCACAAAGACGGGGAGGCGAGTCAGGTTGATGGACATGCATGTGCACACACAGTTGGGTAGGTGGCGCAGTTGGACAAACAGGCATGCGTACACACAACACGCAGTGACCAGTGTGAAGTGCAAGACGAATCACCAGAGATTTGAGCTGAAGGCACTCAGTGTGATTATGAATTGTATCCCTGTAAGGTGCTATTAGGGCTATTAAAGAAACTCTATCTACACTTTACTAAAGTGCTCTAAGCAGATACTCTCAAACAAATACTGATTGTGTTTAACAAAAAAGAAAGAAAATAAAAAAGAAGGTATTTTGGCAACTCTGTGTTTAAAATGTATAAGAAATTATTAAACTATATTCTTACTATGTTTACTTGTACTGTACTTTGCATAGCTAAAATTTAATGTTACTATAATTATGATTGCATATGTGACTACAATATCTCTAGTTAAGGACTGAATTTAACATTACCAATATGGTAAATAAATAAATAATAAAAAATGAGGAAGAGTAAAGGATGAATATGTTAGCCTCTATAATGTAGCCTCAGTGATCGAAGAAACAGCAACTACATAATATAAAGATAAGCAACCAACAGATTAAAACCACAAGTAAACTGTGATGGGATATGAGAGCTCAACTCATTTCTGGCCTTTATAACAAGTACACAAGAGGCCTTAACGAGTTGATTTGTCATGTGATTGAACACTTCATATTCTGCTCTCCATCTACTGATTATGCTATCTTATTGAGACAATAATTGAGCCCTTCCATGTGTGTTCGACATCCATGAGATGTTTGTACCTCACACATACTCCAGTGACTCGTCATGCACTTCCATGGTCAGGGTGAAGTGGGTATACGAACTCTGGCGCTTGTGCAGTCGCTTCTGTAAAATAATAAGTACCATAGTGATATTCATGGGCAACAAATCTTGTGGTAGCCATTATCCCTTCCTTACCACAAGCTCTAACAGCTCCAGTTAGCATGATTTATTATCATCATCTATGGATATGCCAGTTCACCAATGCAGTAAGGAATGGGTTAAGTTCCTTATTAAGTTCACTGCACCATTCAAAATTTATAATTATGCAGTAAATAAAAATCAACAATCTTTATCAGCAAGAATCTAAAAAAATCAAACAAAAATAGAAAGACAGAGCAACATAATATTTAGCACAAAAAACGAAAACAAACACAGTACAGTACAGTATTCACTCAAAACAGATTTCAGATTCAAGAAAAAATCATAAATACAGGGTGTCCCCCAAAATAATGTACACACTGTTTTACACATTCTTATGGAGATAACATAAATGCCTGTACAGTATTACAGTACAACAATAACATTGTCCCCACACATCAGTAAGGAGGGACTATGAAAGGTAGTGTGGGTACAGTAATTTTTTTTCTGAAACACCCTGTATGTGATGTAAAAATAAAATTTACAAAATTAAATATATTTACATATCCTTCAACAAGCTTGTTATAAGAGGGTGAACTAGGGAAATCTCCATACACCCCAGCACCTACTTGTCAGGGCTTTATCTAAAAATGGAGGTTGTGTTACGCAATCTAGATCACACCAGTTCTCATGAGTGACAGCATAATGGCACTAAGTGTACAGTACAGGTACTCCTCAACTTACGACCACCCGGAAATACGACCGCCGCAGTCGTACCAAAATTTTGTCAAATTACGTATTTTTGAGTCCCGGCGTTAGTGATTGCGCTATGTACTGACAAAATTTTCGTTTGTAATTCTCTTTAAAATGGCTGGCAAGCATAAAAGTGAGAGTTTCATGGTGCTGAGAAGAAAAAGAGACATCCATTTTAGATTTTCTATGTATTATTTTCGCATTTTCGACTTACGACCAATTCGACTTACAACCTGGAATTGGGTCCCTAACCCTGTCCTAAGTCGGGGACTGTCTGTACAGGGTACCTAATAACATTCACTCTCTAATTACAAACGGTAGTGATTTATTTAAGCTAGTTTCTTGTAGAGTAATTAAAATATGTACAGTACAAATGGTAGATTAAAGTGTGAAATCCCATTTTATGATAAGAGAAATGAATCACCTGTGATATCCATATCTGCCTTTAACGAGAGGACTTATTTTATATTTAAAGGCAGGATACATTATCTTGGCAGACAAGCTCAAGTAACATTTTTCCCTATAAATACCATAACATTTTCCAATACAAAACAGTCAAATCACTGTCAAAGACTTAATTCCCCTTTGATTCTGTAATTAACTAGTCCAATGATGCTAAAAGTCAGGGCTCAAGAAACTTTCAATTCCTGCCAATTTATAATTCCACCAAGGAAGGAGGAGGGGAATCCAGGTCACTAGTTTCTTCCCTTCACTTACAAATTAGAAATTTCTCACTTCAATCCTTTCTTTATGATCTGTTCATCATTAATAAGTAAACCTACAAGATTCTAAACCATTAAGGAGCACAAAGGAGCAGCTCTTGTGATGATACAACCTACTGCATACACTTCAATTAACCCATTAAGTGTCCCTGCCGCTTTAAAACGGTAGGACGGCATCGGCACAACAGCGTCACTGCCGTTTTTAATCGCTGTTGTATTTACGAACATTCCGCACTCTCTAGTATCATCTCGCAGCCTAAATAAGCGAAAATAAGACTAATTCCAACTTCAGAGCTGGCCTCCCTGCCTAATCCCATATTTATTCCTCCCTTGTTCACTGTCACCTTGACACCAAGACACTAACATACCACAGTACATAACTAAGAGATCCCAACAACTTTTAATCAAGTGTCTTTCCATTGCAACATATTTTTTTTGTATCTAACTTACAGAAAACATCATATTGTTTTGGCGACGTGAGGTAGAGTGTAGCGACACGTGTAGAGGGTAGAGGTGTTGTCATTACTCATATGTTATTTTTTGATCAAGTGTTTACGTAAATAATTTGTTATACAGTGGGGTATGCTATAACGAACGGATCCTACTACGAATATTCCTATAACGAACGGTTTTACCTATAAAATTGAGATTGCTATAACGAACGAAACTCCTACAACGAACATTATTTAGAAAAAAAAATTCTTTTTTTTCTTTTTTTTTTTTACTAATTTATTGTTTTTTTATTACAAGTATTAATGATGTTCTTTATTTCAGGGGTTTAGATGCTTATTTATGCACTTTTTTACAATTTTATATTATATTTTTCAGTGTTAAGTGGTTGTATTTGGGGGCCTGGAACGAATTAATCCTATAACGAACGAATGCTATAACGAACAAGGTTCTAGAACCAATTAGATTCGTTATAGCATACCCCACTGTATTTTCATTTGTTATTAAATCAATAAAAATAAATAAAATTTATGGAAGTAGATAGAAAACATTGAAATAAAATCCAATTTATTGAAAGAAAAAAGAAGCATTGTTTATGTTCAGAGTGGCCAGACAGTCGAGGCCCGTTGTTGATGTCACGTGGTCCTTGTTATTCTATTTAAAAATATTCATCATGGCAAAATAAATTAGCAAATCCTTCTAATTTTATATTTATTACATAGTTTTCTATGAACATGCACGTAATGAGAGGAAATAAATAAAATATTTATGAATGCAAAATAAAGACAATTTTACATTCATATTTGGCTTGCTTGCCGAGAGGCTCTGGGGAATTCCCCTCGACACACGTACACAATTGATGCATAGTGGGAAGTTTAAATGCTTAACGTGCAATATTATAAAAATTTTCTGTCTTTTGACAACAAAATACACCATTATGACTCCACCCCCAAAAATGGGTTAACAGCCGACTCAACAAAATGGGATAAAATGGCCATGTTAGACCTCTGGGCAATTTAAAACAAGGGCATTTGCAATCACCATGGAATAAAGTCTAGAATTGTAGTGCACTGGGTGGCTGCGTGGTGGCACACAGGTAGACCACAGCTGACAAGTGCAGTGAGAGATGCGTTCCATATTCCGTGCATTAGCGGTTTTGGCCGGACGATGACCATTGTCAGGCCAAAATTAGGGGGTTGGTCTCGATACATCACCAATGTCCGAGCTGCTGGTATGTAATTGGACATAAATGAACCCATTCAGAGAGCTTTCAACTTCTAAAATAGACTATGTTTAATGTTTTATTTTAAGTACAGCAGTACATATAACTTTCTTAATAATTTTATTTAAGAAGTAAAACAAACATTCAACTGAGTTTCTGTGAGTGCGAGGCAAATCTTGATATATTCCCGATAGACCTTAGGTAATTCAGCACATCTGGATAACCTAGGACCCTGGGAGCTGAATAATCCTTAAAATTGGTTCAGTCATGGACCCAAGGGATATGGATTTGAGGGTCTATACCTGGAAATACACACATGTATGTATGCATGCATGCATATAACCTCCTCATGTGGTAATGATTGATAATATTTATAGAGAATATTTTCTGGGTAGTAAAAAATCTTGTCCATCCACACTTCTCTTTACTTCAATTTAGCTTCTACCATTTTACAAACAAATTGATTAACCACAAGACAAACATGGTCTCAGACAATGTATATAACAGGACAAACTTGACATCTACACAAACAATATTTCCACATATTCTTATAAAAACAAAACATGGCCAAAACAGTATCAATACACCGACCCATAAGCAGTATCCTATTGGTCTATTCCTCACTTGAAATAATAATGATAAAGATTCTTGACAACATTTCAGTTAATTTGCATATTCCAGAGAAGATTTTGGGCAAAGCATTAAATGAGGCTGACTAATTTATGATTGTTTTCAAGCACTCATGTCCTAATTTCGTAAGGAAACAATGAGAGGGAGAGAAAAAGAGAAAACTTTCATTATAAGCTGGAGATAGGATACAGAAAGTGTGGATCCAGTTGAGAGGACAAGGATAACTATAGCCATACTTTAACATAATGGCTACCTGCTAGGCAAAATGTATGCGGCAGTTAATGGTTTCAAGGTGAGGGTCTCGGTTGAATTTTATGGCTGTAGAGAGACACAACAGGCTTGAAATACAGATTGGAAAGTTTTGTGGTGATTCAAATATTACGGCAAATGCAACCGGCAATCCTCTCACGTTGAACCTTCATAGAGAACGTAAGATTTACCTAAACAACAAGCAGACCTAAAAAGTTCTTCCATTTATGATATGATGATGACTAGGACTCAATGTTCACAAGTTACCAGTTTCAGTAACTAGTAAATTTTTTTCTGATATCTCTCGTTCATTAATACAGTATAATGGTTTTAAGGTTTAGATAATAGAACTTAAGCAATTTTGAGATGCATCTTTGAATTGTTTTTTTATTTAATGTTTCTTAGTGATCATAATGATTAGCTACAGAAGCCACTTATGGTTTCAAATAAAATATACAAAAAGTATTCAGTATAAAAGTAATACACAACTGATTCTGTAACACACTACCGCTGTCTACATTAGCAATGGACATCTCGAGCACTCTTGGTTATTGAATATATCTAAAATTGGACAATGATGGACATAACCATTTACAAATGACATTTAAAAGCTACACTACTTTACATAAACTATGATACTGTTTGAAAGTAATATTGGCAACAATACCAATAGACTTAAATATCACCAGTAAAAATATGCAAAAAAATGCACTGTTCTAATTTTCAAATAATCTTTAAAACAAGAATCTGTAAAATAAGATTCTGCAACATTCACTAGTAAATACTTTTTTACATAAGGCTAGTAAATTAGCATTCACTGATACTTCTTATCAGTAACATCTTATTAATCTCAATACTGTGTTAATGTGTGGAGGAATCAGTGGGATCATTAGCTACTCATTGTAAAAGAAACTTCCCACTTTGTTCAGAGACAGACTTCAAAACTTCATATCCTGTTC